TATGGGGAGGAAGTGGGAGGGGAGCTGTTGTATTGTAAATTTTGGTCAATGACATGAGACAAAGTATATGTGAACTGCTGTATGAAAAGTGAATTTGCTCTGTAAATCTTCACCCAAATCAAAATAAAATTATAAATAAATAAATAAATAAAGACAGCAAAGAGAACCAACTGCAAAACAAAGTAATTTATGAAGCCAACCTAACAGGTCTGCATCCTCTCTACTTGGGGTGCTTTCTTCTACATCACTCAAAATGTCATCTCCATTTTCACTTGCTATGCTTTCTTTTATTCATTCTTTTATTCATACTGTTGCCTTAGCACAAAGTGCCTCTCCCTTTCCCCTGAGTTTCACCAAATCTTACACTTAAGGGTCCAAGTCCTTCCTAGATCATCCTACCCTTCAGCTCCACTCTTCAGTGGTCTTCTACCCTGAGTTTTCCTACTGTATTTAATGTTTGCTTCACACAATTTTAGTGTTGTATTGCTTGCTCATTTCATTCTTATCCCTGAAACTTGCAAGCTCCTCAGAGAAGGAATCATGGCTAATAGTTCCAAATCCACAAAGAGCTTAGCACAACACTAAGCACAGAGTAAGTTCTCTAGAAGTTTTTGTCACTTGATGATAAAGAAGGCGAAATTGTGGGCTGCAAATAACCTTTAGTTACAACTCAACCATTTTTGATACACATCATTTCCATGCCTCGCAAGATATGAAAATTTTAACTTAGCTGTGCTGAAAATACATAAGGGCACTATGGAAATAAAATTCTCTAAACATTGGACACTGATGTCTTACCATGAAAGAGGCTGTTTTGGTTACTTAGTGCCACTCTAACAGAAGATAGCACAAACGTGGATGGCTTTAACAAAGGGGAGTTTATTCTTATAATTTTGGGAGGCTAGAAGTTCTAGTTCCAAGTACCAGGCTCTAGGGGCTGGGTGAAAGCCCCTCGACCTTGGGCTTTAGCTCTGCCTCTTGCTTCCGGCCCACTGAAACTGGATGCATCTCTTCACTAGGGCAGCTATTGGCTGCTGAGACTGACAAGCTCAAGGTCACCAAATAAAATGGCACAGTTCCGATGTTAACAAACCACATGGCAGGCCACTGATTCAAGTCCATTTTAAGTTCCAAGGTCAGCAGAGCATGCCAGGCTGCAGAACAATGACATGGCTACTTGCAGGGTTCAAGCGTGCCATAAGCTAGAGACCATTCCCAAAGCTGTTTCTTATATAGGGGAAGCAGACCACATCCCTAAAGCAGCTACTCAGCTGCTTGTGGTAGATCCCACCATGGAGTTGATTGTCAGTCTCATTATGGGGAATAACTACCATCAGCTGCCTAGTCACTCAACCAGGCCCAGCCAAGTTGACACACAACCTTAACTACCACTGAGGCTAAATTCAAAATTACAGTTGTTACACAAAACATTTTTAGATTGTGGACCCCATTTCTACATTAGAAGATGTGTAAGTAGAAATAATAGCTATTTTATCACAGTGCAAAATTATCCCAGAGCAGTGGTTTCAAAGCTTTCTTTGGTAGTAGATGAATTTCAAACATACAAATTTCAAACAAAACGCTACATGTATCTTTACCATACAAAACAGGAAAAAGCAGAGCTGATTTTGCTAACACAGAGGGAAGACCCTATCACTCTGCCTACTTGACTCCTTCCCCCTCAAATGCATACCATCCCTTTCCTACCTCCAACACCCAACTGATACCACGTCTTGTGTCTAAGAATCACTCGTGAACAATCAGCAAGCTGCTGTGAATAGGAAAATACTTACTATTTTTTTTTTTTTTATTAGGATTTGGGTGAAGATTTACAGAGTAAATTCACTTTTCATACAGCAGTTCACATATACTTTGTCTCATGTCATTGACCAAAATTTACAATGCAGCAGCTCCCCTCCCACTTCCTCCCCATAGTTACCTCCTCCCAGTGTCCATCCCTTCATACTCTTGGAAAATACTTATTTTTAAAAAATTTATTTCAAATATAAAATCAAAACTTACCCATTTCTACTGAAAACTCGTAGCCATGCTTTGATGTTTGGTCCTAACAAACATAAACAAGGCATGGTAGTAAAAGTAGACAAAATAACTGCAAATAAAAATGTTTCCAACACCAACCTATAAAAAAAAAAAAAGACTATTAATTAAAAAAAAAAAAAGTTACAGGTATATATATACATGCACACACACATCAACTTTGTTGCAGACTTATATAAAAAATAGTTTCTTATACTTAGGACGGTGACATAAGACCCATCCAAATGAGTACTACAAATAATTTTACTAATGAAATGGAAGCTATAAAAAAACAATCCAGGGTGTATCTGCCTTTAATGAAGTGTTAAATACCTTCGTCCTAACTGAGACTGTCCATTGCAAGAAACCCCATTTCTACAAAATTAACTTTCAACAGTCTCTGGAACTTACTCTGCAACCGGTGATATATCTTTACCTTACATCAGAATCACCTGAAGAACTGAATGAACATTGGGGACCCCCTTTACACCTTCTGACTGAGGCCTGAGAACTTGTATTTCTACAGAATGTTAATTCTGCTGGTTCAAAGACTACACTTTGAGAATCACAGCTCTAAACATTCATTCTACACTGAAATGGATTAGACAGAAACTATCATTTCCCATCAGAGAGGTCTTATCTTTCATCTCTAGAAAAGAATAACCTGCTAGTATGTGTACATATAAATGTACATACACACATATGTATTTTAAAGAGCCCTGGTGGTACAGTGTGTTAAACACTTGGCTGTTGACTAAAAGGTTGGCAGCTCAAACCAACCAGTTGCTCCATGGAAGAAAGATGTGGCAGTCTGCTTCTATAAATATTTATAGCCTTAGAAACTCTATAGGGCAGTTCTACTCTATCCTATAGGTTACTGTAAGTTGGAATTTGACTTGACAGCAGTGGGTTTATTTATTTTTTTGATACAACAAAAACATAATGCACTGCCGTTGAGTCAGATCGAACTCATAGTGACCCCTCCTCTGGTTTCCAAGGTGGTATCATTATGGAAGTAGATTGCCCAACCTTCCTTCCGAGGAGTGGCTGATGGGTTTGAACTGCCAGCCTTCTGGTACGTGTGTGTGTGTGTATATATATACATACACATATATACCTCGGAAGGAAGGTTGGGCAATCTAATTCTGTACTGATACCGCCTCGGAAACCCAAGGAGGGGTTGCGATGAGTCAGGTCTGAATTGACGGCACACAACAAATATAAATATATATCTATAAATATAAATATATATATGTGTATATATATATGTATATGTATACGTATATAAACCAAACTCACTGCTATTGAGTTGGATCTGAGCCCATTGTTGAAGCCACAGTATCAATCCATCTTGTTGAGGGCCTTCCATTTTTTCGTTGACCCTGCACTTTACCAAGCATGACATCCTTCTCCAGAAAATGGCCCCTTCTGACAACATGACCAAAGTAGGTGAGACGAAGTCTGGCCATTCTCACTTCCAAGGAGCACTCAAGCTGCATGTCTTCCAGGACAGATTTGTTAGTTCTCTTGGCAGTCCATGGTACTTTCAGTATTCTTCACCAACACCACAACTCAAAAGCATCAACTCTCCTTCAGTCTTCCTTGTTCACTGTCCACCTCTCACATGCATATAAGGCGACTGAAAATACCATGGCTTGGGTTAGGCACACCTTAGTTTTCAAGGAGACATCTTTGCTCTTCATCACTTGAAAGAGGTCTTTTGCAGAAGATTTGACCAGTGCAAGACATCATCTTATGCCGTGATTGCTGCTTCCATTGGCATTGATTGTGGAACAAAGTAATATGAAATCTTTAACAACTTCAATCTTTTCCCCATTTATTGTGATGCTGCTTATTGGTCCAGTTGTGAGGATTTTTGTTTTCTTTATGTTGAGATGTAATCCATACTGCAGACTGTAGTCTTTAATATTCATCAGTAAGTGCTTCAAGTGATTCTCACTTTCAGCAAGCAAAGTTGTGTCATCTGCATATCTCAGGTTGTTAATGAGTCTTCCTCCAATCCTGATGCCATAGTCTTCTTCATATAGTCCAGCTTCTCGGATTATTTGTTCCACATAAAGTTTGAATAAGTATGGTGAAAAGATACAACCCTGACACACTCCCTTCCTGATTTTAAACCATGCAGTGTCCCCTTGTTCTGTTTGAACGATAGGTTCCTCATGACCACAATCAAGTGTTTTGCAATTCCCATTCTTCTCAATGTTATTCATAATTTGATATGATCCACACAATCCAATACTTCTGCATAGCCACTAAAACACAAGTAAACATCTTTCTGGTATTCTCTGTTTTCAGTCAAGATCCATCTGACATCAGCAATGATATCCCTCATTCTTCATCCTCTTCTGAATCCAACGTGCATTTCTGGAAGTTCTCTCTCAATATACTGCTACAACTGTTTTTTAGTTATCTTTAGTAAGATTTTACTTGTGTGTGATATTAATGATATTGTTCGATAATTTCCACATTTTGTGGGATCACCTTTCTTTGGAATGGGTACATATATGGATCTCTTCCAGTCAGTTGGCCAGGTAGCTGTCTTCCAAATCTCGTGGCATACATGAGTGAGTGCCCCCAGTGCAGCATCTGTTTGTTGAAACATCTCAATGCTGGAGCCTTATTCTTTGCCAATTTCTTCAGTACAGCTTCAACTTCTTCCTTCAGTACTATTAGTTCTTGATCATATGCCCCCTCCCGAAAGGGACGAACATCAACCAATTTCTTTTTGGTACAGTGACTCTGTGTATTGTTTCCATCTTCTTTTGATGTTTCCTGCTTCATTCAATATTTTGCCCATAGAATCTTTCAATATTGCAACCCTTAAAAATTTAAGGCTTAAATTTTTTCTTCTTTCAGCTTGAGAAACGCCAGCGTGTTCTTCCCTTTTGGTTTCCTAACTCCAGGTCTTTGCACATTTCAGTATAATAACTGACTTTGTCTTCTCGAGCTGCTCTTTGAAATCTTCTATTCAGCTCTTTTATCTTGTCATCTCTTCCATTTGCTTTAGCTACTCTACATTCAAGGGCAAGGTTCAGAGTCTCTATGACATCCATTTTGGTCTTTTCTTCCTTTCCTGTCTTTTAAATGACCTTTTGCTTTCTTCAAGGATGATGTTCTTGATGTCATCCCACAATTTCTCTGGTTTTCAGTCATGGGTGTTCAGTGCATCAAATCTATTCTTTAGATGGTCTCTAAATTCAGGAGGGATATAATCAAGGTCATATTTTGGTTCTCATGGACTTGTTTTAATTGTTTTCAGCTTCAACTTGAATTTGCATAAGAAAAATTGATGGTCTCTTCCACAATCAGCTCCTGGCTTTGTTTTGGCTGAAGATACTGAGCTTTTCCATCATCTCTTTCCACAGATGTAGTTGATCTGATTCCTGTGTATTCCATCTGGCAAAGTCCAAGTGAATAGATACCATTTGTGTTGTTGATAAAAGGTATTTGCAATGAGTAAGTCATTGGTCTTGCAAAATTCTACCATGCAATCTCCACCATTATTTCTATCACCTAGGCCATATTTTCCAACTACCGGTGATTCTTGTTTCCAACTTTTGCATTCCAATCATGAGTGATAATCAACACATCTTGATCGCATGTTTTGTTAATTTCACACTGCAGAAGTTGGTAAAAAATCTTCAATTTCCTCATCATTGGCTTTGGTGGTGGTGTGTAAATTTGAATAATAGTAGTATTAACTAGTTTTCCTTATAGGCGTATGGATATTATCCTATCACTGATAGCACTGTACTTCAGGATAGATCTTGAGACATTCTTTGTGACAATGACTGCCACACCATTCCTTTTCAATCTGTTATTCCTGGCATAGTAGATTATATGGTTGTCTGATTCAAAATGGCCAAAACCAGTCAATTTCAGCTCACTAATACCTAGGATATCGATCTTTACACGTTCTGTTTCATTTTTGACAACTTCTAATATTCCTAGATTCATACTTCATACATTCATATTCCAATTATTAATGAATGTTTGCAGCGGTTTCTTCTCATTTTGAGTCGTGCCACATTAGCAAATGGAGGTCCTGAAAGCTTTACTCCATCCATATCATTAAGGTCAACTCTACTCTGAGGAGGCAGCTCTTCCCCAGTCATAGTTTGAGTGGCTTCTGACCTGAGGGGCTCATCTTCTAGTACTATATCAGACAATGTTTCAGGGCTATTCATAAAGTTTACCAGTAATATATCAGACAAGTGTTTCACTGCTATTCATAAGGCTTTCACTGGCCAATTCTTTGAGAAGTGGATGGCC